TAACTTTTGGACCAATATTTCGGAAGTTATTAACATTTTATAATGATGGCTGGAGGTGCGGGTGTTATTATTTTTGTCACTAGTCATTAAAGGATGAACATAAAAATTACTTCATAATTTAAAAATAAGAAAATAATGCACCTAAAAGAAACCAAATACCATTTTCATTATTATGTTAATTTTTTTACTTTTTATGTGTTACATAAACGAGTCACTCTGTATACATGAAAATAGATCTTATTGATTTCAAGAACTATAGAAAGATTTCCTAACTTAACACCACATTTAATATTATTATATTAAATAATAATATATTTAATATACAGGGTGGCCCACCACTCACTGACAACTTAAATAACTTTTGATCCAGTTAATATTTTTAGTTGATTTTTTTTTTAAATAATAGTTATACGTTAGGTCTATAGCTATATCTCAATAATTAATTTTTTTACATTTTATTAAAAATATTAATTATTTTAAAATTTTAAATAAAAAGTAAAAAAAAAATCTAAGATAGCTATTTTGTAGAGTAGAATTTAAGAAAAATTTTAGTAAAAAAATATCTTATTAATATTCAGTAGTAAATATTCTGTAGCGTTTTGAAGTTTGTGAAAATTTGAATTTTCATGTACTATTTTACGGTATTAAACATTGAAATACGTATTGAGAAAAGGACAGAAGAAAACGCTATCTTTTCATGATTACTGTGTATACATATGATGATAGTGTGTATACATTACAAACTTGGCATTAATACCATGATAAGAAATTAGATAAGGCAATTATTACTTATCACTCTCATTCAAAAGTATATTGAAAAGATAGCGTTTTCTTCTGTCCTTTTCTCAATACGTATTTCAATGTTTAATACCGTAAAATAGTACATGAAAATTCAAATTTTCACAAACTTCAAAACGCTACAGAATATTTACTACTGAATATTAATAAGATATTTTTTTACTAAAATTTTTCTTAAATTCTACTCTACAAAATAGCTATCTTAGATTTTTTTTTTACATTTTATTTAAAATTTAAAAATAATTAATATTTTTAATAAAATGTAAAAAAATTAATTATTGAGATATAGCTACGGACCTAACGTATAACTATTATTTAAAAAAAAAATCAGCTAAAAATATTAACTGGATCAAAAGTTATTTAAGTTGTCAGTGAGTGGTGGGCCACCCTGTATAATAGATAATTTAATACTATCGAATATTTTTACTAAATCGATTAAGGCCATTTGCTAATAACATCATAAGGGAATATCAGTGTGGTTAAAATCACAAGATTCCTAACAAATGTTTTAAAATGAGATAACACTTTGTCATCTCATTTTAAAACAAAAATATTTGTTCAGAGCCTTGGGCTTTATTGGCCTCTAAAGCCAATATAAAAATATTTTTTCTCATAAAGAAAAAGATATGTTAAACTTAATTGGAGTCAATCATTGCCTCGATAAAAAAAAATATATATTTCGGTTTTTCAAGTATACTCATGTTAATTTTAATGATTTTACGCAGCCCAAAAACTGTATGTATCAAGTGTTAGTAAAAAATTAAACGTTTCTGTATTTTTAAGTGTTGAAATAAATCACGTAAACGTCCAAATCATGAAGTAAAAAATACGAATTACAGGAATATAACGGTGTTCAAAATGCTCAATGTTGTTAAAATATTCCTATTTCTAAGTGAATCTTGTTTTTCTATAGCTTTGGTACAAGTATTTGTACTGGCACTCTTCGTTTCTCTAGAAGTTCGTAATATTATTCAAGAAATAATAACAAGAGAATATTTCAAAGATACTTTAGGATATTACATGCGGCTTTAACAAATGCAAAACGCCTCTTGAGCTGGGTCAGGTGGCTCTGTGAAAAATAGTGCAGTCTTGTCGTTAAGTAAAAAGGGGAAATGAAGAACAGAGGACCCCAGATGCATAAATGGTCCACGAGATATTGTGTTTTATACATGGTTATAATTTTAAAACCTTATTTTGTGAAATGGGTTATAAACAGGTGCTGTATAGAAAACAAATTGTTATCGCATAAAATAATAGTCATAAAAACAAAAGAAGTAATTTAGCTCATTAAATTATGCAAGTGTTTGTTATTGTTTTTTTTTACTATTAAGTAATATTTATTGGATGATAAATTTAAAATACTTCCCTTCGTTAATTGTTTTGCCAAAACCATTAATTTATTATAGTTTTACTATCATAAAATAACTTAGAAAAAATAATATCAAATAAATATATGAAATATTTTTTACAGTATTATTGTTGTTGAACTGTGAGAGTTTCATATCCATAAATATTACCTGTTAAATATTATAACTTTGAATATCAAATGTGTATTTCTAATATTTTATATCAAAAAGGTATATTTCAACATAAAAATGAAATATTGCTCGTATGTGTCAATGAAATAGGAAGCTATAAAATTATTATGTATTCCTTTGTTGTCTTCGATTAAAAATGACCTATTCAGAAGGTATCTTAAAAGGGAGAATATAATTCTGTTTAAGAATATGGATATTAATATTCTATGATCTATGGTATTTTTACACCCTTTTGGGCGACTGTAATCGTTTATCTTCGAACAACGAAAATAAGAAAACCGTTAAAATTACTGCAAAGTCACTTGTAGTAGTTATTGGAATTACTTTTCTTTATTATTATTATTTTTTATTTTCTCGTCCTTTGCCACACTTTAAAATTGCAGGAATGCTATAAATTGACTCATATTAAACTATTGCGCTATGCAAACGAATAAATGTTAAATATGAGAATTATATTGGACGTGACGAATGGTTATTAACATTAACTGTCCCCTGGCTAATATGACTTACTGAAGGTTATTACAATATACATTTTTAATGGGCTGTACTTTTATACGTGACTATATTACACGCGTTTGTTATGCACACATTACACAGAAAATGTATAATATGTACAAATATTATGCGCTCAAACGGTGTATTTAAATATACATATATTTATGTTTTTATACTCGGCCATTTGTAAGTATATATGTACTTGTTATTATTGCGATCCTACATTATTTTTCCTGGTTCCGGTGGTAGTACTTTCATCGTACCTTCTGTCAAATGAAATTTTATAATTCACCCCCTCCCATCAATCCGATGAGCAAGTACGGTGACTGAACAAAATTGCTATCAATATAACATGTACAATAATATTGGCGGCACAAATGTTTGTAGGGCCTGGGGACTCTGTCAATGGTCGTTGAGTTATAGGAAAATATATTACAAAACAGACTCAACGCTAGAGTAACTTTTTAAAAAATTCGACTTCTCATTATTGGTAAAAACGTATTAGTTTAAAGATATTATTTCCAACATGTTTGAATATAATATAAAAATTCTTCCGGTAAATACACAAGTACCAATTATGTAAAGGTTTTTTTATAAATATTTTTACCATAAAAATAAATTTGTAGTTTTAATACTGGGTATATTAATTTTTACTTATTATTTATCTAACATAAAAAAAAATGACCAAAATGTGCGAATTTTACATTTGCATTTATTGTTGTTATTCCAAGTTTTTATCCGACCTATTCTTAGACGAACAAAATAGACACTAATATAGAGTAAGGATAACAGTATCCTTGTAATCTTTCATTCTAACGCGTTCGGTTTTCACTCCAAGTGTCTATGAAATATAAAACAACTCGTTTATCATGTATCCTCGTACTATGCAAATAATTTAGTATTCTCTAGTGCAAATTCACTTTTTGCTTAGTAAATAACATCAAACAGCAGCAAGTTTGTAATCAATATATAGAGCTCTATATTTATCAATTAGTTATTTATGATTAAAATCAGCCTTAATTACTTATAAATAAGTAATGCGTTAATACTATCACTCTTATTGAACTGTTCACGGTTTTAGTTAAAATTTAAATGCTGTAGAATACTTCTTAGCATTTATTACTTAGTTTCATATACGAAATCAAAAGCATTTTCATGAATTTTAATTGATCGGGAAAACAATTCTCATAAAAATAATTAGAAATATAAATATTATTGTAAAAAGTTTTTAGTTTTTGTCTGTGATTTAAAAAGTATTATATTTTATGTTTTTTTTTATTAAGTAATTGATTACGTAAAATTTTTTCTGAGAAGTTTTATTTTTAACTATATCATTACATATCATATGTAATAAAAATCATTAATCTTTTAATTGAAATTTTTACTAACTAAACATAGAGTATTCTTTAAAACCATTCTTATTATACTAAATATATTATAATTAATCTATTTTATGTATTGTTTGTTTTCCTACAACTATGATGTCATCTACTTTTGTTTTCAGTTAACATTTGAACTGATCTTTGACGCTTGCACGTAGTTTCCATATTATTTTTCAACTATAATTATTATTCTTCTTAAGATTCACAACAGATTGTAATCTGTTGTAGAAATATTATCTATATTAAATTAATGAATTTCAAAAACAATTTAGACATGTTTAATTGAAAAAGAAACACATTTATTTAAAAGTTTTTTACATATCATAAAATACTATTTTGAGTCGGAAAATTGACTTTTTTTATTGAACGTATTACATTGCTGTATTGATTTTCTAAAATCACACATATTTTGTTTTTAGTATACATTTCACGTATCACTGAATTTTCTGTTGGATTAGTGATTACTCGTGTTTAAATTTATCTGAAATTAAATCCAATATAAACTCAGTGACCGATACATACACTATCTCGCGTACGATTTTTTTTTATAACTGTTTTTATTCCTCTTCTCATCCTAAGTCCACTTACACACGCATGCACAAATGCACATGCTAAAGCCACGGTGTTTACTTCTAGTTCGTTAAAGTTAAGTGTCCAACGAACTGTACGTTGTTTGTTTTAGTCGTCGGTTTGTGACTTTTTGACAATCTTATAAAGCAAATTTCAGTAAGAGAAAAACAAAAGAATCGCAAATAACCATACTAACATGCTTTTTAACTTTTTTCAGGATGGGCTATTGGTAATGAGGAACGAAATTGGAAGTATCGGCTATCAATTTATTATGTAAAACATTTTGATAGTGGCACATTCACCTGCACAACACCGCGAGGAATCAATAATACGATATCATTGCGCATATCAGGTTAATTAAATTTTTTACAAATATAATCTATTATGTTTACATTTTAAACGATATATTGTTTGAAACTTCCAATAAATAAAATAAAATTGAAAAATTTGCGAGATTACAAATGATACTTGCTATTTGATAAAGAAAACAACGTTTGATTTCAAGATTGTTAAGATATATATTTTTTTAAATAGTGTTTTAAATTGTTTGTGTAGGAACATAACTTAAACAAAGGATGCAATGAGACAATTTTAAAAATATTACTCCTATTTTGTACTAGTATTATTAAAGAAGTTTTTCGTTAAAAAAATATCCCATTCTCAAATTTTATATACTTTCAAGTTTATAATTTACTTGGTATATAATATTTTTAATAATAAAATTACTAGAAAAATGTTCAAGGTTCCGATACATACAATAATTAAGATGGTTTCTATATTTGTTAAAACTTAATTTAATTCAATTAATACTTAACATGTTAGTACAAACTAGTATGTAGTCGAGAGTAAAGAAAATCTTTTAGCTAAGAACACTGACAAAGAATTCCGCATGAATTATGAACTATTCCAGATTAAATTGTTCAAAATAAAAATATTTTTCAATAAAATAAATTATCAAGTAATTAACAAAAAATTGACATAAAAATATTTAACTCGTAACCGCAATATCGAGATCATTTTTGTTTCAATCAAAACTAGTGAAAATGTTAATAAAAATAATTAAAATTAAAATATTTTTACTTTTAGCTCCACTCTTAAAATATCTATATTCTCTTTTTAATTTAAATTACTAAGTTCTTATTAATACATTACCGAAAGTTTGTTCTTATTTAGATTTTAACTTAAGGGTAATATTTTAAATTTCTTTTGACATTTATTTACCAAATATTTTGTTTTCTACATAATAATTATTAATTAAACTAAAAGTATTTGCAGGTTCATACAAATATGCAAAAATAAATGAATTTTTTAAATCAAAATATATTATTTTAGTAATAATTTATGACCAGCAGTATTATTAAAAGTTTCTGATTGTAACTTTTGAATATATTTTAATTTAGTAAAGAAATTGAAAAATTAATGTAAATCTTACTAAAGCATACCTGAAATGGTTTTTCCATTTTAAATTGTACTTAATACTCGAAGATCTCTAAGATAAAATGTCAGAATACACAATAAATTATAAATCATTTTCTACTAAATAATTAATTTTTATAATCTATACTTTTTTTTTTTTACTTTATTTGTTTAAATTTTCACTGATTTTAATATTGAATTTAGAGAGGTAATCTTAATTTGTTTTACTTTCAAGTTTTCATATTTCAAAAATAAAATAAGTATTAGGATTACACTATAATGTTTTGCTACAAATATATAATTTTTACAGATATACATTGCAAACCTGTTCCTAGTATGGACTTGAGTTTACATTTGAATTATAGAGCTAGTGGACATAGACTTGGCCAAACAGCTTATTTCAACTGTCCGCCTGGATTTTTCTTGAAAGGTCCAGCAAATATTACTTGTCTCCCTTCAGGTAAGTTTTAAATATTTTTAAATTTAAAGAAAAAAATTATAAATTATTAGGAAAAAATATATCAGAACTGATCTTTTAATTAAACTAAATATTTTCCTCTATATTATAAGACATTATAATTTTCTGGTATTAAACATATTATAAATGTTAAAAAGTGTAGAAATATTACTTGTCATTAATCAGTAGTAAAATATTAAAATACTTGAATTGTTGCAAAATTTATGTATTTACTAATCCTTTTTAACACAAACCTTAGCTGTTAAACGTGTTAAGTTTAAAATGAGTTTGAACCCTAAACATACAAAAACATTTTTTTAGGATTATTAATCGTGATCTATTAACCAGTTTACGAGAACCTTATGATACAAAAACATTATCTTTTTTCCTAAGAATAATGGCTAGTAATTAAAGCAGGCAACACTCACAGATAATCGTAATTTCACAAATCTGAAATGTCCGAAAAAAAGAGGGCAAAAAAAATAGCTTCTAATTAAATTAACTTTTATCTTATATATTGTATAAATTTTTGGACCTTTCTTCTATCTGACAGACCTTAGAAATAATAAGATGTACCTCTATTAGCAATATGAACAGAGTATATAATCATTACATTATTACAAATTCTTTGTTTTTAAAGAAAAGATGTTGTAATTATGTCACGACAGCAAATATTTTGTTTCAAAATCTACAAAAAAAAATCTCATTCAGAGTAATTTGCTTTTCCATTCTACATTAACTATAATATTTAAATTTGCATTATGCCTTTTAAACTATTATAATACTACTGTGTACTGTTTTTCGTCCAATCTTTTAATTAAAAAAATAATATTTGTAATGACTATAAAATATCCGCAACGCATTGTACTTGTTACAATACTAGCTACTAAAAAGTAAATTTATTTCATCACTATAAGATTCACATATTTTTTCCCTGTGTATAAAATTTTAATGGTTTTATTTATATAAATAATTATAAAATGATGTTGATTCTACGCAAGTTATTTTATTCGTTCTAAATTTTTATTTAATTAAAGGGCTTTTAATTACAACAAAATATGTCAATCCAACGCAAGTTTCCCATTTTTACTACAATTAATTATGCCACTATTTCAATTAAAACATAAATCATTTATACTCATTTAAACAGTCAATATTGATATAAGTGCAAAGCAATCTACATAAATAACTAGTTCCGCTTTGGTTGCGTTGTAATATTGCTGATGCAACTACTAATTTAAAAACATCAGAATTACATTTATTTTTAATGAAACAATTTTTTTTTTTTTTTGAAAAATTTAGTTCTACTCAAAATAATATGTAGAATTCAAAAATAATTCAAACATAATGCTGAACATTATAATATTATTATTACCTTTTAAAATACACCCAACCATCACATTAACTGAATAAATAGGTTCATTCGATTCTCTGACACTCTGTTATAAATTTCTCCAAATTGATATGAACTATGTGACTGTTCTCATATCAATAAATTCAGTTAAACTGCCATTATAAATCAACATGAATAATTTAGTGTAATAATTTGAGACGTGTGAAATAATTTCGCTAATAAATAATAGTTCTAAGAACCTACTCTCGTGAACTAGGATTTATGTAATAGAAATTTACCGGGAAAATTATGTCAGGTAAACGTTGTAAAAGCACTTGATATTAATTGGTCTAATTGATTATTAAAGATAATTCAAAAGTTCAAGACTTATGCTAAACATAAAATATTTTTGTAGAATAACCTCCAAAATTATTTTTTTAACGATTAATCGCGATGGCTCAACTTACATGTCCCTGAGCTTAACTATTGCAATTTTTTTCGTTCGTAATTAGTAAAACCTATTGGTGTAAACGTATTCGCTAGCTACTTTGATATCAATAGCTAGTTGTGTCGCGTCCATTCACCAGAAGATCGCTAAAAGTAAAGTGACAAAGAGAGACCCTAAATAAAATTAATTCTCTTCCCTTTTTCAATGCGTTGAGCTTTTTATTAATGATCAAATTCCATCAGTCGTCTGTCAGCACTGGAATCGACCTATTACTCTCACAAATCAACGTTTTATTTTTATTTTTGTCCCTTTCATGGATATTTATGGACTCTATACTTGATTAGTAAAAAGGAATTTGATAAACGGTCGTAACAATGAAAGTACACATGTGAAATACTTTCTTTAAATACTTACTGCGTGTATATTATACTTATTCACTTAATAAATAACATCGACAATTTAAATACGAGTACCCAGTGCGTTACATAATTATACAACCGAGAGAAATGGAGCGGATTTCTGAACAATCAGAACGGATGTTACTGAATACACACGTGTGAAGGGGTTCAGCAATAGTTGGGTTAACTTTAGGGTGTATAATAACACTTCGAGATAGCTGTTAATATTTATTGTCCTTGAATGGAATCGATTTACAGTTTTGTCGAAGAACATCGCTTAACATTAAAACAACAAGAGGTCTGTGCATGAGTGTTTGTCCGATTTCTTGGAAACGTTTTATGTGTATGTACACTATACTTGCCTAATGTAGGCTAGCAAAGTTTCCCAGCCTGTGTATCGAAGTCTTGTAATATAAGAGAAACTTTTGTCCACAGATCACTGCACCGCAGGTAAACTGTTTCTGTTGCACAACTTTCTGTTCACTTGCGCGCACTCTAATTCGGCCTTATAAATAAAATACGAAATTCTCTATATTAACGTATGTATGATTATACGGTATAGTAGTATTGTATCAGAGATATAAATAAAAATAAAAAGACTCGGTAAAATTAAATTTCCAAATAAAATTACTCTATAAAAACATTGTTATTGCAGAGTAAACTACAAATTAAATTTAGATAAATGTTTCAAGTTTTTGAATAAATTTTTTCTTGTAGTGATGGAGTTATCGAAAAACTTATTCTGCTGAATACATGCCAAAACTTAACACATTCTTTTTTCCTTTTGAAAATTTTCAAAAATCGGTTTTGATTTTGTCGAGCCTTCGGGCACAAATAGTAGGTTTTAGAAAGGATGTTAAATATAAATAGATAATTTATCTGTTATAATTATAAGTTGATAGATTCAGTTATTTATTATGCATGGTAAATTAAGTTAAAATATAAATTACGAGCATAGCTTACTAATTTTAGCTTCGCATCGAAGCTAAAAATATATTAATTTTACTATCATGTGTTTTATTTATTTTTTGTGTCTGTTACCACTTTTTCTCAGCTCTCACTGAACCGATTTCTTTCAATGATACGTAAAAAGATCATGAATCGTATCTAGTCGAAGACATTACTCTCAAAAATTGAAAACATTTCCCTCGTTCTCCGTAAATGGCGAAAATCTCCAAAAAAATTACAAATTTAAAAATCGCTAATTTTTGAAATATTTCTTACATAAAACTACTATAACTTTTTCAAAAATGACCAAATCAATATAAATTTTTTTTATCAATGCATGTTGTTTTTACCTATCATTTGATATATTTGTTTTTATTAATCTGACGCTTTACGTGCCCACAGGGGGGGTTTTAAAATGACAACTTTTTCAACTTATCTATTGGAAGTGTTCCGGAAATACTGACTCTTTTATATATATTTTAAAATAAAGCTTATGTGATATACTTTATTATGGAAAAATAAAATTTCGGACTTTATTTTGTCTTCATGGTGAAAATGGCTACCGTATGCTATTTTTGTGTGAAAATCCTCGATTTTATATTTTACATTATTAACTTTATAATGCTATAACTTTTTGAAAAATACATGGATCAATAAAACTTTTTTATGATAAATACTATTTATATACCTCTTTTATTTGACATACTTTTTTTTTAAATACTATTTCTCTTTATATATTTATATATTATAAATATATATATTTATTCATATATTATTACACTTAAATATTAACTTATTATCAGGACATAAATACCAATTTTTTAAAATTAAACACTATCTACAGATTTGCATCGGAGCGTTTTTTATGATAGTGATTTTAATCAATGTCAGATATCATTTACTTGACCCAACTATGCCACGTCGCCACTTTGCCGTGACCTTACTGTGCTGGGGTTTTTTTTTTGTTATTTCTTAAAAATTATGTTTGTCCTTTTTTCAAAAAACTAAAACGATACTGCTATTTAAATGGATAGTATTAACATTATAAAATCCAATAGAAAATAAGTTATTTATATAGGTTAAAAGTTGAATTATTTAAACTATTATATAAAATTTAGGATCAAATATGTAAATTAATTTTAAAATAAATGTGTGTAAGTGGCCTATATTTAAATTTGAATAAAAATTATTTACACGAAATATCCTCCATTTTATTATAAAATATAAAATTACTAAAAGTACTATATTTTTCCATGATTTTGAACTACACACAAATATGAATAATTTCTACATAAATCACAAATTTTAAACACCTTAATTGTTGGTTGATTGTTGTTATTAAATATTCTTAAATTCTAAGAAAAATTATTTAGTTCTATCTGTTTTTTTTTAACAATGTATTCTCGTAATAATGCCATGAAGATTATTCTCAAGTATTTTCAAAATTTAAATGGGAACTTATTATTATTTTTTTACTATTAATTGGTAAATGGTTTAAATAAAATTTTCACTGGTGTATGACCCTTATTGTATTATTACTTTTTGAGGTATTAGTATTTGAAGTCTAAGTTCACTTAGTCTAAGTGAGGTGTGGGGATGAGAAGTGTTTAATGATGTTTTATTTTTATCAAATGTTCAGATGAGGATTCTCCAATGTTACGCGCATCCTGCTCGCCTAAAATTAAAATTATAATAACTTAAAAAGTAATAGTGCAATACTGATTAACGACCAATGAACATTTGATTTAGAACTTTTTCCATTTAATAGTAAAAAATATATAATAATAACAATAGGTTTCCGTTCAACTTTCAAAAGTTACCCCTAAAATTTACGCTTAAAAATAATATTTTCATATAATAAACTTGATATTTGCAA